GCTTGAGTGTGACACTGGAGGGGGGACCCTCTGTGTGTGGACCTATAAAGGACCGTCTGGCCTCATCTCAGAGCCTCATGGACCCTACTTGTCTATAAGCTGGGCTCCGGGCCTTGTGCTGGGGCAGAAGCCCCACCCTTCTTCCTGCTCTCCCCAAGCCCAGTTTAGGCCTTTCCAAAGCCTGGGGAGCTTCAGGTAACTCCTGGAACACCAGCACCGGAGTGAACTTCTCGGAATCCAAATCCCAGCTCTGACAACGATTTGCAGTATGACCTTGAATTAGTAGCTTTCCCTCTCAGCCTCAGTTTCCTTCTCCCAGTCCAGAGTTGATAAGCCCAGCCCCTCTCAGAGGAAACAGTGTCTGTGAAAATTGATGTATTTGTCAGCTGCAAGGAATAATTACAGGTGTGGGAAGTCTTTTGAGTACAGGCTTGGGAAGCCTGGCCCACCCTTGCAGGCCCTGCAGGGGACCGGGGTAGGGGTCCTTTGGGAGGACCAGTCCAGCCTTTGCTTCCTTCCTGTCCCTTCTTTTCTCTAAACCCTGATGGGTCTTCCTGGACTACTCCATATTTGGACATAGGGCTCCCAGTTTGTGAAAGGACTCTGGTTTCCCCTAGTCCGCCTTCTTCCTCACTTCCCCTGCCTCCCCTGCCTCAAGCACACCTTAAATTGCTGGCCCCTCTGACCCAGGTGACATATCTTGACCTCTTAGTCATTCCCTTTCGAGGTGAATGAACTGCCCAGCTTCAGCTCCCACGGACCCTGCCCTTCTAGCCGTCAGGCCCTGTGCCATGCAGAGGGCACTGGCCTGGCGGTCAGTGGAAAGCTGGGTTCCAGTTCCAGGTGCTGGGGGTCCTTGGGCAAGCCCCTTCCCTCTCTGGGCCTTAGTTATCCAACTGTAGCAAAGTGTGCTTAATTGGTTGCAGCACTTCCAGGGCTGGTATTCTAGGCTTCAACTGTTCTGAGATTTTGGATTCTTGGGAGTCGGGTGGGGCTGGGGAGGGAGTCTGAGGCCTCCATCCCCCCACTGCAGCTGTGACAGTCACTCACCCATCTTCCATTGCCTTCCACCCCTTGTTCCCAAGGCGGGCTGGGCTGCTGGGAGACAGAAAATATTTGCAGTTTCTGGGTAAGGGCCACAGCTGTTGCCGAGGCAGAATGTGTTTGCTAGTGTGCAGAGGAGGGGGCTCACCCCGGGAAATCGGGGACCTGGCCTCTTGGGGCTGATTCCTGGGCCAGGGTGTGGGGGCTCTGCAGTGACGGGTAGCTGCCAGGATCGGGAACATCTGCACTGCAGCACCCAGCCGGAGCCCGGGGCTCCCGGTTTCAGCCCCAGCCCTGCCACTAACCAGCTGGGTGCCCTGGCCACACTTATCATCCCCTGGGCCTTGTCTCCTTCCTCTCTAGAAGGATAAGAGATGTGTCCAGGTAACATAGTAAAATGATTTCTGAGTATGTATGTCTCCTCCCCACCCCGATAGAGGAGAGGAAGTCCATGTGTGGTGGGGCTTGGAATCCTGGCTTGGAATCAGCCACATTCCATATCCTTTCTCCCAGAGATTGAGAAGCCCCCACAGAGACTGGCTAGGAAGGAATGACTGTCCTTGAGCCTCAGATTCCCCACCTGTAAATTGAGGATGAGTTTGATATCTACCCTCATGAGATTATAAAATGGAAGCTGTGAAAGTGCCTTGTAAACTGCGGAGTGCGGTGCACAGAGAAGCAAGTGCTACTGTTGTAATCTCAGAAATGTGCGGTGCTTGAGAAGGCAAGGTGACCTGAGCCTCAGGTTCCTCATCTGTAAAACGAGTGTCCTGGTACTCCTTAAATAATAATAAAATAGCAACCTCTATTATTTATTGAACCCTTCCAGTTTACCAGGATTTGGCTGAGCCCATTTTGCAGATGTGGCAACTCAACCTTTGAAAGTTTAGGGAAGAGGCCAGGACCTCTTCTAAACACTAGCCTTGTTAATTCTTTTCATCCTCACCACAAACCCTCTGGGGTAGGCACTATTTTTAACTCCCTTTTTACATATGCGCTTAAGTACTTGCCCAAGGCCTCAAAGCTCCTACATAGGGGGTCAGGCTTCAATCACCGGCAGGGCTCCAGCCTCTGTGCTGCTTTCCATGAAAGTGACCTGAGCTGGGATTCAAACCCTGGGCAGTCCAATTCCAAACCCTGGGCAGCCCTATGATCTCCTGGGGCCTTGTCCAGCCCTGGGATCAATGGTTCTGGGTCAGGAGAGGGAAAGACACTGCTCTCTAAGAAACCTGAGTGCATGAGCTGGGGGCTGTGCCCAGGCACATGGCCAGGAACGGCGTTTACCCGGGAGGCTCCTAGAGGGCCCTGGAGCTGGTCCTGGGTATCTTCCTGCAGGCTGGGGGATGACCCACCAGGAATGGAGAAAGGGAAAGATCTAGATTTTATAGGCCAGGGGCCTCTGAAGTAGGGCAGACACACCCCGACAGGTGCTAAAGATGACTTCCTGGAGTATAGGAAGAAACTGTTAGAACTCTTATTTTATGTGCTTTTAATCTCATGCTTACAAAGTAATTTTTGTTTATCATGATGAATGCTCAATTTTTTTCTTGTTACTGGTGGTATATAGGATCAAAAAAATTGCAGATTAATGCACTAGATAGCCAGCTTCATGGGGGGGGGGGAGACTCATCTGTGTCATTTTTAAAATTTTATCCCCAACTCCTACAAATGGGCATACAGGAGGTGCTCAATAAATATTTTTTGCAAAATGAATCCCCATTTGATGACTAATTTTCTTTAGGTGTTGGGCAAGTTACTTAATCTTTCAAGTTATTTCCTCTCCTGGCTATATGACGAGTAAAGCACAGTGTGAAAACCACTAGGCTGGGTGGTTCCTTTTATTCTGTTGAGGGGAGAGCACTTTTGCCACCCCAACATATGCATTTTGGGGGATATTGGTTATTTTAAGCTGTTTTGTTTGTTTTTGTTTCTTTTTAGAAACAAAAGACTCAAGAAGAGCCCTTTCTCTCCCTCTTACCTGCCTAAAAGAATTCAGATAGAAATACCTGCTCCAGGAAGGGAGATCACCTTATCATATTCACCTTAGCAAGTTCACCTTAGTATAATATGAACTAAGTGTGGCAGGCAGAGAGGAACATAGCAGAGTCTGGTTGTTAGACGCCCCTCTGGGTTAGACTCCCATGGTTTCTGGGTGGCTCAGATGTTTGCTCCTTCTCATCTATCTGTAAATTGCCTGCCTTCCCTTTGAAGTCCAAACCCCTGCCTCCCTTTTTCCTTAGCTCTAGATGATATATAAACCTCAACTGTTGATTTGTCCTTGGGTCCCCTATTCTTAAGGAACTCCCATATGTACATACATGATAAATTTGGTTATTTTTACTTGTTAACTGTCTTATGGCAATGTGATTATTAGATCAGCCAGAGAACTTAGATGGTTTAATGGAAGGAGAATTATTTTTCCTTCTCTACACTGATTTTTTTTTTCAAGGGGGTCACTAAAGGAAGCATGAAAAACCACTCAGTGCACTTCATCCAACACTCCTTATGAGCCACACCCTATGGTAGGGGGTGCAGCAAAGAAGAATATATAGTAATTCTCAAGAAAGAGTAAAATCATGACTCACACAGATATAAAAATGACCGCGTGCTGAAGATTTTATTCTCATTAATCAATGACTGGACCAGGCAGATGTTATAACCAGCTCCAAAGACAATCAGTAGACACCTTTATATATATATATATATATATATNCATTCTTCTCAAGTGCACATGGAACATTTTCCAAGATAGACCACATGTTAGGACACAAAACAAGTTTCAATAAATTTAAGAAGATTGAAATCATATCAAGCGTCTTCTCCAACCACAATGCTATGAAACTAAAATCATAAGAAGAAACACGTTGTTTGCTGATAAAGCTCCTGAAGTAGTGCCTGGTACATAGTAGGTGCTGAATACTTACTAATGAATTGTGAGAATTAAATGTGACATTGCAAGTAAAGTGCTTACAACGGGTGCCTGGTACAGAGAACATACTCAATAAATAGCAGCCACTATGAGGATGCTTGAGGAGACCCCACCTCCATCCTCACTGGGGCCAGCCCCCTCACAGTCTATCTCGAGGGGTGGGGAAGGGGGGTTCCTTCCACTGACAGCAGATGTCATCTTAAGGCAATTATTTTAATTTCTTCTTAATCTTTTACTAGATTCTATTCATCTTTCTGGTCACAATTTAACATCACTTTCATTCAGAAGCCTAGGTTAGGCTAGGGCCCTCTGCTGTGGGCCTTGTCACAGCACTTGATAGTTCCCAAATTGCACCTGGCTAAACTTTAGTGTAACAGTGACCTAACTAACCATCTGCCATCTGTGAGAGTGGAAGCTTCATGAGGGCAGGGCAGGGTCCCATTTCCCATTTGCTCACTTCAGTCTCCCAGTTCAATGCCTGGCATGCAACAGGTGCTCAATAAATATTTGTTGGGAGACGAAGAGATGAAAGGACATATTTTCCAGCCAGGTCTCCTTGTAGGCTTAAAGTCGCTGAACTTTAAGTGACAGATGGAAGACAACCCTTGCAAAAAAGCTTTGGTTGTTATCCTTAGCTTTCGGATGAGCAAATCGATCATCTGAGCAGCGGCTTGCCCAGGGAGGCTCAACAGCTGAGTGACAGCCCAGGGTTACCATCTTTCCATCTTTTTACCAAAGCGGAATTTCTAAGGGGGCAGAGGATGAAAGGTACTTTCATTGCAACATTACCTCCCCTGGGAAGTCTTTATAAATCCCCTGGGGGACCATCACTCTCAGTTTCCTCTGAGTTCCCAACATTTATCTTTTTTTAAAAAATCATCTATTGTTTTCCCCACAGTCCTGGATTATAACTGCTGGTCTCTTTGTCTCTCTTTTCTCTGGACTATGCACTTGCCAGAGTCAGGCATGAATAAGCTCTTCTCTGGAGTCACCTGGCTCAGGTTCCAACCCCAACTCCAAGACTTACTAGTTCTGTGACGTTGGCCAAAGAACGGGACTTCTCTGGGCTCTTCTCTCCCAGAAAGTGGGTAAGTAATGTCACGGACGTGATGAGCTATTGAAGAATAGAATCGGATCAGGCGGATAAAGTGCTTGGCCTCAATTTTGTCAAGCCTCAGTATTCTGTTTCTCAACAAAGCTTTGGCAAGTATCAGAAATTTGGGGGAATGTTTGCAGAACTAGGAGTCGGGAGCCCTGACTTCTAGCCCTGAATGGCTGCGTAGCCTTGGCCAAATCCACCTCCCCGCTCTATGCTCGAGTCCCGGGTCTGAGCTCGGACAGACGTTCTCCTGGGATGGTGACATTCTAAGATTCAAGGAGCAAAGCAATTGGGGGTGGGGGGTAGGAGGCGGGGCGAGCCCGATTGGCCCCTGCGCGCCACGTGTCCGGCCGGAGAGCCGACCGCTGTCTTCCCGGCCCGCCCCTGCGCTGCGGCTGCTCCTGCTCCGCTAACCTGCTTGCACCCAAGCGTGCTCCCTGTCCGCCCGTCTATCTGCTCCTCCGCAGGTCCGCGACAGGAAGCCTCCGCTGCGCGGTGAGTGGGTGGATACCGCAAAGGGGATCGTTCCAGGGGACCCCCATGCGGGGGGCTGCAACGCGGCCATCAGTAAACGCCCAGTCATCGCCGACCTATGCCTCCCGCCGGGATC